TATGTCCAGACCGTCACAACTGAAGCCCGTGTATATTCGAAAGCTCTTGCGCCTAGACATTCACGGCGGACAGGTCCATGCGAATAGATGCACATATGGGGAGCTCCACGCAGTGAGTAATTACTTGGACGCCTCCTACTCCTCCTCCTCCTCCTTCCTCCTCCTCTTTTCTCCTCCCCTCCTGTCGGGCTTACTCATACTCAGACTTGCTCATACACAGACTTACTCATACTCAGACTTACTCATACTCAGACCTACTCATATTCAGACTTACTCACACTCATACATACTCATACACAGACTTACTCATACACAGAATTACTCACACCCAGCCGTACTCATACACAGACTCACTCATACCCAGACTTACTCATACACAGTATTAGTCATACTCAGACTTACTCATACCCAGACGTACACATACACAGACTTTCTCATACACAGACCTACTCATACCCAGACTCACTCATACACAGACTTACTCATACACAGACTTACTCATACTCAGCACCCCTAAGGGGAGCCGCCAGGGGTGGTTGTACGGGCTCGTTCGCGGCCATTTTGTGGGGATGTCTCAGGCGGTTTGCCTGTTTTTGTGCCCAACATCCTTCGCTTTCGGAGCAGATTGTGAGAATGTCTCGAGAGAGGCGCTCCTTTCAGCACCCCTAAGGGGAGCCGCCAGGGGTGGTTGCACGGGCTCGTTCGCGGCCATTTTGTGGGGATGTCTCAGGCGGTTTGCCTGTTTCTGTGCCCAACATCCTTCGCTTTCGGAGCAGATTTGGAGGATGTCTCGAGCGAGGCGCTCATTTCAGCACCCCTAAGGGGAGCCGCCAGGGGTGGTTGCACGGGCTCGTTCGCGGCCATTTTGTGGGGATGTCTCAGGCGGTTTGCCTGTTTCTGTGCCCAACATCCTTCGCTTTCGGAGCAGATTTGGAGGATGTCTCGAGCGAGGCGCTCATTTCAGCACCCCTAAGGGGAGCCGCCAGGGGTGGTTGCACGGGCTCGTTCGCGGCCATTTTGTGGGGATGTCTCAGGCGGTTTGCCTGTTTCTGTGCCCAACATCCTTCGCTTTCGGAGCAGATTTGGAGGATGTCTCGAGCGAGGCGCTCATTTCAGCACCCCTAAGGGGAGCCGCCAGGGGTGGTTGCACGGGCTCGTTCGCGGCCATTTTGTGGGGATGTCTCAGGCGGTTTGCCTGTTTCTGTGCCCAACATCCTTCGCTTTCGGAGCAGATTTGGAGGATGTCTCGAGCGAGGCGCTCATTTTCACCCCCCAGGTGGGCCAGATTTTGAGGATGTCTCGATCGGTTTGCTAGTTTTGGTGGCCAGGCTCGTGGGCGCAGATTCTTCTCAGGATGCCACAGGAGGCTCCAACAGGCTCCAGGAGGCTCCAGGAGACCACATGAGGTCCCAGGAGGCATCAGGAGGCACAGAAAGACTCAAGAGGCTACAGGATGTCCCAAGAGGCTCCAGGAGGCCCCAGGAAGCTCCAGAAGGCTTCAGGAAACCACAGGAGGCCCCAGGAGGCAACAGGAAGGCAACAGGAGGCCCCGAGAGGCCCCAGGAGCAGGAGGCCTCAGAAGGCAACAGGAGTGGCTCCAATCCCATGTGTTTTACGTATGCTCCTATCGATTGGGCCTCACCTGGAGCACGATTCTTTGATGTTCTACGTATGTTTCTATAGATGGTCCTTGCCCTGTGTACACAATCCTAAATGTTTTACTCATGTTCCTATGTATCGGGCCTCTCCTGGGGCACGAGTCCTTGGTGTTTTACGCGTGTTCCTATAGATTGCCCTTCTCCTGTGGCTCTAATCCGCAATGGTTTACGTACGTTTGTTGCTATAGATTGCGCCTCTCCTGGGGCACGAAACCTTCCTAGGAGGTCCCAGGAGGTCCCAAGAGGCTCCTGGAGACCCCAGGAAGCCCCAGTAGGTTTCAGGAGGCCCCAGGAGGCCCCAGGCTCATGCACAGAGACGCGCTCGTACTACTGAGGCTCATTCGCACTCCAATTCATTCGCAGTTAGATTGATGTCCAGACCGTCACAAGTGAAGCCCGTTCATATTCGAAAGCTCTTGCGCCTAGACACTCACGGCGGACAGGTCCATGCGAGTAGATGCACATATGGGGAGCTCCACGCAGTGAATAATTTAAAATAGTTCGCCAACGCGAAGCCTGTTTGGGGGATGGCTGGCGTTGTAGAAACAAGTTTGCTTATACCGTTTCTGGGCGATCGATGTTGCCATCTTTGCGGCGCTCAAGGTTCTTGGTGGATTTCGGCATGCGCGCTTGCGCGCGCGTCGTCTCATTTCTTGCAAGGGGCGTTGGCGAGAGCAGGCGCGCAAAGGCGTTCGAACGATTTCGACATGCGTGCGCGAGGGGCACATTCGGAAACATGCGATGCTCATGCAGAATACGTATCATCTTTATTTGTTGTGCTAAGTCTTCGCAAGAGCGCGGGTGCACGTTTTTGTTTGAAAATGCCCGCTGCCGATTGTTTTTGTTATAGTTCCAGGGCGCTCGGGATGGGACACGCAGAGCACTGCAAAGGACGAGGGGGGGAAACCCGATACGGGACTGCCTTGAATGGTACGATTTCATTTTTCGAATGGACGGGCGTGCATTATCATATACGACAAACCATACGCGAACACCCGGCGTTCATGCCGCGATGGGGGGGTACCCGAATACTTGTTCACGACGGAGCATCTAGGTTGTGCAATTCATGTGGTGCAATCAGTGTGGGGCAATCTTGATTGTGCGATAGGTGTGGTGGTGAAGTCTATGGAATGCAAAGCGAGAGGTGCAGTTCATGTCGTCTAAAATGGTTCGAAAGGGGCGGCGACGGAGCAGGGCCGGCGTCAAGATAAACGCCAGATCGACGCGACGGCCTGAACGACGGGCGACGATTGGGCTGTGACGGCGAAAACATAACCGTTTGACCGACGCGCGGGCCCAGACGACGGGCGGTGACAGGGCGGCGACGGGGCAGCGACGGCGACAACATAGCCGCCTGACCGATGCGCAGGCCCAGACAACGAGCGGCGACGAGGCGGCGATGAGGCGACGACGGCGAAGACTTAGCTGCAAGGCCGACGCGCAGGCCCAAACGACGGGCGGCGACGGCGACGCCATAGCCGCCAGCCTGACGCGCACGCCCAGGCGACGGGCGGCGACGACGCGCCGACGGGGCGGCGACGGCGACAACATAGCCGCAAGACGGAGGTACAGGCCCAGAGGACGGACAGCGACGTTGCGGCGACGACGACAACATAGTTGCAAGACCAGCGCGCAGGCCCAGACGACGAGCGGCGACAAAGCGGCGAATGCGCCAGACCGGCGCGCAGGCCCAGACGACGAGCTGCGAAGAGGCGGCGACGGGGTGGCGACAGCGACAACATATCTACCAGATCGATGCACTGACCCATGTCCGTAGACCAGAAGTAAAAGTAAAATCGCCCTTTGGGAAATATGGGGAAGTATGGGAGATGGAGGGGGAGCAGACAAGCCAGAGGACTCTTGGATGCCTCTCGGAGTTTTTTCGGATTGGTTCGAACGTTGATTGGAGTCCTCTTGGGGCGTCTTGGGAGTCTGCTGGCAGTCCCGGAAGCCTCTTGAGGCGTCTTGGGCGCCCATTGGGGGCTTTTGGGAACCTCTTAAGGGGTCTCTTGGGAACCTCTTGGGAACATCTTGGGGGCCTTTGGGGGGCCTCTTTTGGTCTCCTTTCCATGTCTTGGGGCCATCTTGGGGCACCCTTGGGAGCTTTCTGTGCCATCTGTGGGCCATCTTGGAGGAGATCGATCAAAGGGAGGTCTCCTTGATTAGGGCCACCCCCCCAGGAGGGCAACATGTGGCAAAAACCTTTATACAGTCAATGATTTTGGACTTCTCGCAGACGCCTCTGGGGCGTCTAGACCTCTTGGGGCCATCTTGGGGCACCCTTGGGAGCTTTGTGTGCCATCTGTGGACCCCCCCCAAGGAGGGCAACATATTGCGGAAACCTGAGTAAATGGAATCATTATGGCTTCCGCGACGAGGCCAAACAATACGCCCCAACGTCTCGCGAACCCCCCGTCCGAATCCAGGGGGAGGGGGGAGGGGAGAGGTAAAGCCCTGCCCGAAGTGGAAGAAGGGGGGTTGAAAGAGGAATCGCCCTAAAACACTCACGCCCAGGGGGCTGGTGACCTGGTGGGATTGTGTCTTCCTGGGCCCCTTGGCGCGGTGGAGGGAAAGCGGTGACGAGGACACAGCGCCGCAGGAGGGCTGGGTACCAAGAAGCGCTCAGGTTCGTAATGGCGACGTATTATGGCGGCGGCGACCCCAGCGCGGTGGTTCAAGGTTGAATGCCGTCATTGGCCAAGAATTGGCCGAGATCGAGGTTGCACGCCGTCATTCGCCAATAATTGGCCGAGGTCGAACGATCTGAGTTATCGGAGAGCCGAGATCGTTCGAGGTTGAACAATCCATATGTTGTCAGAAGCCAGCGCGGAAGTCGTTCCGACGCCATTTTGCCGTATTCAGTCAACATGTTGCTAGAACGCCGCCCAGTTGGGTTTCGAAAGAGGATCGATATTCTGGAGGCCCCTCTGTGGGTCCTTCTTTCGCGTTGCTCGTGCATTTGGGAACACCTGAGGCTCCAGGGGAGCGTCGTTCCTTCACCAAGGCTCCTGATGGCAAAGCCCGCACTGCAGACGTGCCCTGGTTCTGGCCAGGCTGACTCTGGGCCCAGGACGGGCCCCGGCCAGCATCGGTGTTGGTGCATGTCGCTCTTCCGCCGGGGCAACGGACCGCGCCTCGCGCCCCAAGGCCCGCGGGCCGCGCGGCGCGGGGCCTCGATGGCCGAGGCGCCCTCCTCTGGCAGAGCTCCGAGGGCGGGGGGAGCTCCACCCACGCCTGGCTGGGGCCTTCGGCTGCCGCGCGCCGCTGCCCGAGCCCCCCCCGTCGGCCCCCCGCGACCCGCGGCGCGGGCGCGCGCACGGGGGCCGCGATGTGCCCCTCCAGGGGCCGCCCGGCGCCGCCGGCCGCGCCCGCCGCACGCCCGCGGGCGCGGCGGGCCTCCGCCGCGGCGGCGCTCGCGGCGGCTGCCGCCAGCTGCTGCTCGGACCGCGCCCGGCCTGCCGCTCTCGCTGCGTTCGCGGCGCTCGCGGCGCCCGCGGTGGGTGCCGCCGGCGCGCTGGGCGGCGCCGGGCGGCTGTCGGCCGAGCTGCTGCTGGAGCGCCACGGTCGTTCGATGATCCTCAGGATTTGGAGCCGTCTGGGGGTCGGAGGTGGCCCAGCACTGGTTCTGGCCATCGGGAAGGCGGGGCAGGGTTCTGGGTTCTGGGTTCGGGCAGTTGTTGTTGCCCTTTTCGGCTCCTGGGGGCCGTGTTGGGGCCCCGGGACCGTCGAAAAAGCCTCTGGGGTGAAGAACAAACGTAGATGGACCCTGTGAGGGGTCAGGTGACCGATTTTGAGAGTGTTTGAGTTAATCCCCCCTCCTGGCCGATTTCCTGTGGATCTAGACAGTTCAGACTCCCCAGCCGCCTACATCTTTGGACGCGTATTTTTCCAGTGTGCGTTGGCGCCGTCCAGCTCCGCCGATGAGAAGGCAGCCCGTGTCGGCCTTCATCGCACCTCTTGCGTGGTGTTGGGCTCTGGTGGGCCAGCACACGAGAGCGCCATGCACGTTCAGAGGATCATCGAGATCGTCGCCGCCGCGGTCGTCGGCGGCGTCGGCGAAGGCTGCAGAGGCCGCGGCGACGGGGGAGACGACGACTCGTCCTCGCCGAAGGCGTCGTCGTCTTCGTTTCAGTCCTCGTCGTCGTCGTCATCCTCGGGCGGCTTGCTATCGTCCGAGCTGCTGCTGGAGCCGCTCGTCGTCGCCGCAGGCGTCGTCGGCATCGACGCCTGCGAAAGGTTTCGGGAATCTCCAGAAGCCTTCGAAAACCTCCAGAGATGTCTCCCATTGTTCCTCTATCCTCTTGGGGTGGAAGGATCAAGGAAGGGCAGCAGGATCCCTCAGAGCCTCGAAGTACCCCCAGTCGAACCCCTCCAATCGTCAGGACAAATCCAGCAACAGTTCCCATCCACACATACACGCACACTTCTTCTAGGGATGGATCTTAGGAGTGGGGGCTCATGAAGGCCTCCGAAGGTTCTATGTGTGTTGGCATGTAAGAGCAGTGCGTGTGGTGTGGTGTGGTGTGGTGTGGTGTGGTGTGGTGTGGTGTGGTGTGGTGTGGTGTGGTGTGGTGTGGTGTGGTGTGGTGTGGTGTGGTGTGGTGTAGTTCGTGCGTGCATGCGTGCCTGCGTGCCTGCGTGCCTGCGTGTGTGTGTATGTGTGTACGGCAGGCGGACACAGTCGGCCTTCATGCCGAACCTCGTGGCTGCTACCTGGACGTGGATTGGATTACCACCCCAGGCCGCTACTGTCCACCCTGTGGCACAACGCTGCAAATCCACTTCGTGGTCGCCCGCATCTCCTGGCCCCTCCTTACCAGTCGGTGGCACCTGGTGCATTTCGCCTTCCTGGTCTTCCTCTACCTCGCGGACGTCGACTTGCTCACGGCCCTTCTCACGCAGCACTCGAGGATGGTGTTTTTGGCGCGCCGATGACGGCAACATCAATCCACTTTCCCTGTGGGACCGCGCTCCCTGCTCCAGTCCATGGCGTACCTTGTCCTGTGCAAGATCTTCGGCGCCGCCTGTTTTCTGAGCCCTCCGGCCGCCTGAGGCCCCGCCCGCCCGCGCCCTGTCTCCCCAATTCGGGCTAACCGCGCCCCGTTTAGCTCTTGACCGGAAGGGGCCCGCTCCCAACCCGCAGACCAAAAAAGTGTGTGTATGCGTGCGCGCGTGCGTGCGTGCACGCGTGTGTGCGTACGTTTGCGTGCCATCTCGAGTGCCCTATATCAAGGTTATGGTGGAGGAAGAGGAAGAGGAGGAGGAAGAGGAGGAGGCGGAGGAAGAGTGCCCAGAGTAATCCCAGCACGCCCCGCTGACGCTGCAATGCGCCCTCCAGTCGCCGCTTCAGGGCGGCAGTTCCACTGGACATGGCGCCGCTCGCGCCGTCTTACCGAACGTGGCGTAGACGATCGGCCTTATCGTTCAGATTCTAGCCAGACGCGCTGTCAGTTCATCGTCGTGGCGGCGCTTCTCCCTCCTTCCCGTCACCTCCCGCTTGCTGCTGAGTTCCTGTGACACGGTGCCCATTACGCCCATTTTCTGCAGCTGGGTCGCGGAGGAGCAGGAGGAAGAAGAGCAGGAGGAGGAATAACAGGAAGAAAAGAGGAGGAGGAGGAGGAGGAGGAGGAGGAGGAGGAGGAGGAGGAGGAGGAGGAGGAGGAATACGTCCATCACATCCTCCACGACCAGGTGAAATAATACTTCGCGACCAAGTGAACGAATATGTCATGCCTTTGCGGGCCCGTTTCGTATGTTTCCAGTTCCGTTGCCTTTTGTTGTCCAGCTGCTTTCACCTAGGTCCAGTTTGCCGGCCACAGCGCCCAACCTGGTATTTTTTTTTGCTGCCGCCCTCGATCCCAGTCGATCTGAGTTCGCCTAACGTCAAAAATGAGGACGTCGCCAACGACGACGAGGGGCAGACCTTTTCCCTCCTTGTCGGTCGCCTACATTTGCTGCAGAGTTCTGTCGATGGCGCCTATGACGCCAATCTGCTGCAGCTGGGTCGCAGAGGAGGAGGAGGATGCGGAGGAGGAGCAAGACTTTTGGGTCGTCCGCCCTGCCACATCGCGAACACCACCGCTGGCAGGCGTTCCTTGACCCTTGTCTGATTACCCCCCCTTTCAGGGGCAATGGTCCCCGATGGGAGGGGGGAGGTGACTGCGTCCGTCCAGAACCTGGAGCCACCAGTGTACCCCTGAGCCTGCTGAGGAGGACACCGCCGACGACGAGGACGAGGGCCGGGCGCCCCAGGAGCACGCTGGCAGTGCAGGCGCGCACGCCGTGTCGTGCCCGGGCGGCTTCGGGGCCCTGCTCGACCCGAAGTACTTCGAGGCGCGGGCCGATGCCCCCCCCCTGGCGGCCCCCTTCGGGCGACGGGGCGCTGCTCCCCAGACATGGGCGGCGTCGCAGATCACCGCGACGTCCGTCTTCGATGTGTTTTTCTGTCGTTCTCGGCCGTTCTGCGCGTGCGTCGAACACCGCATTGTGTGACGTTTCCGGGCGTCTTTGCGCGACGGTGCCGCGCCCTGGCCATCCAGGGCGCTGCGGGCCTCGAAGGGGGCTCCTCTGAGATCCTGGCGTCGCAGTGTTTTCCAAAAGGGCGCAATGCTTCGTTTCGGCGTGGCGTTCGATGTCGTCGATGAGGTCTTGCGACGCCGCCGTCGATTCTCGGCGATTTTCCAGCCTCGGGATGAGTTCCAGCGGCTGCGCCTCGCCGGCGGTTTTCCAGAGTTGCCCAGATCGTCCCGAACGGCCGTCGGGGGGCCGAGTTCTGGCCCGAAGACCTCGGGGTTGGGCCGACCCTGAGATCCCGGCGACCTGGCGTCGCAGAATTGTCGCAGCGGGCGATTTGGCTTCGTTTCGGGCCCCAGGGCCCTCACGGATCGATCAGGTCCGTGACGTTTTCCGTGTCGTCTCGGGGACTGGAGGCCGTCTCCCAGGCCGGGGACCATCGAAGAACGACTCTGACGTTTCTTGCCCCTGGAGGTCATCTCCAAGGCCCGGGACCGTCAAAGAACGATCGGGATGAGCAGCCAAATCCTTCGGGGGGGGTCGAGGTCTCGGGCGGTTCAGGTGTTTTAGTTTTGGCGTCCCCTGCTGCGGCCACCCGGGGGCCATCACTTGCCCGCGGTTAGGGATAGGCGCGGTCGCAGGCGGACGGAGGCGGGATAAGGCGTGGGCGTCCAGGCGTATCCATCGGTCGTTGAACGTATCTGGCGTTTGGGAGTCCCCGATCCCAATGTACTTTAGCCGAATTGCTACTTCAAGAGTCGACCTGCTCCCCTGTTTTTTCCTCTTTGGGGCGCGGGGGCAGATCCTATATAATTCAATGCCTCCATACTTCATGCTCCCACCTACTTTTTCCCACCGATGGGAAGCGTAGGCCGTAGGCTCGTGGGATTGGCCGGGGTCTGTGGCCGTGGATGTCACCGAACGCGTCCGCCGTCTTTCAGGTCTTCGGCGCTTGGCAGAGCAAGTACGGCCGCGACAGCTTGCGACTGTCCGCGCACTTCCTGAGCACCTTCCAGCAGAGCGTGGAGCCCGTGCTGGAGGCGGGCGGGGAGTTCCCAGGGCCTCTTCGGGGAGGCCCTCGGGATGGTCATGGACCATGGACACTGTTGGGGTGGGGCAGGCCCATGGGGGGGCGCATCGATCCCCAATCGTCCATTCGTCGTCGATAGGGCCTGCTATCCCGCCCCGCCCAGGAACGTGCGGATCCGCTATCTGGGGCCTATCGCCGATCTATCGACGGTGTTTCGCCGATTCAAGCTCGATGTTTCCCGCCTGAGCTGGCCCCCCACGACGTTGTCCCTCAAGGAGGAGGGGAGGAAGGAGGATTGGGAGACGGCGTCAGTCGGGCGCTGCTGATCCGGGTGGTGGTCTGTGCGCTCTTGCATGGGGCACCGACAGTTGCGCAGGTTCGCTTCTGGTGTTGCTGCTTGTGTGGGCAGACAGCGGAGGCACGCTAACCTGCGGTCGGAGCAATTTGACTGGAGCTTCCCGTCTGGCCCCACCTGCTCTGTTTGCTGATGGTTCTCCATGACAGGTTTGAGTCAGGTGCAGTCTTCATTTTATTCCGTTGGCGGCTCTTGCGGGTTGCATCGATGATAGCGCTTTCCAGATCAGCCGATCCGTCCACGGCTTGCCTCAGGCCCACGCGCGGGGATCTGGGGGCCATGGCTTCCCGCGCGAACCCACCTGGTATGCCACATCTTCACCTTATTACCCACTTGATCAGGAGACCATACACCGTGGTCTCAGTTTCTTTCTATCTCTGCCTCCCTCCACTCCTCTCCCTCTCCATGCGTATTTGTCATGTGTTTGGTCGCTCTCTCTCTCTCTCTCTCTTTCTCTCTCTCTCTTTCTCTCTCTCTCTCTCCCTGTCTTTGTTCGCTCTCTCTCTCTCTCTCTTATTATATCTCTATGCCTTTCTCGTCTCCAGTTTTCGGGGAAGGCGCTGACTGATTCACGAGCAGTTTGGCAATCGCCTCAGCAGGTAGATGGGACTCCGGAGAACAACTACCCCTTCTCGTCATCGTCGTTCCCCTCCACCTCCCCGTCCTCATCGTCGTATTCCAACCCCTCCCGATCGTCCTTTTGGTCGGCCGCCTCGTCGTCGTTGTTCCCCTTCCCCCGCCCTCTTAGTCTTCGTCCTTCCGCCCCTCGTTGTCGTCCTTCCTCCTCTTCACCCGCCCCAGGGCGCTGGGGCTTGTGCGCTGGTGCGGCACGCATGCGGGGCCCAGGGAATCAAAACCGGCACATCCTCGTCGTCACGTTTGCGATGCCCTTGCGGTGGCCCACATGGTGCTCCGCCAGGGTTCAGGCGGTGTCGTGGGTTTTATGCGGGGGTGGCACTGGGGACGCCCACCTTGTATTACCACGGTCGCGGCCCCGTGCCGTGGCGCGCGTGGGGGTGGGAGGTCGCTTGAGGGCGTGCTGCCCCCCTGGGGTGGCTTACAATATCGGGGCGGCACTCGGGAGGGTGCGTTGTTGTTTGTGTGGCTGCTCCTTGGGTGGCTTGTCGGGTGGCTTACCCGGGCGGCATTCGAGATTCGGTCACATCTTTTGCCTCACGTCGTCTCCAGGAACCTAGCATAGCGCAGCCGTGGTTTTTTGAATTGCGCGTATTGTTCCGCTCGCATCCCTCCTGCGGCGTGGACTGCGCATCAGGTTACAGTTGGGCTTCAGGCCGTTGGGTTGTGGTGCCTCTGTTCGCAGTCGAAGCGCGGCTTGTAGTCCTGTCCGCGAGTGCGAGGTGCCACGCTCGGCATGACTCCCGCGCCCCTTCCTGATGAGCGAGGTCTCAGCAGGCTTTTCTCTGATGACTCGCACGGTAGTCATTAATCGTCGTCGACGTTAAGGAAAATCCTCATCCCTCCTCATCCTCCTCTTCCTTATTCTCCTCATCCGCACCGTCGTCGCGGTTCCCTCCTCCCCCCCATCGTCCCCTTTCCCCCGTTCTTTCGTCCCCCTCGTCCCATCGTCCCCCGTCATCATCCTCGGCCTTTCCCCTTCCTCGCCACCCCCACACTTTGACGACGATCACGACGACGACTAGGTCGTCCACAATGACGGGGACGACGACGACGACGACGACGACGACGAAGACCACGACCGCGTCCACGACCGCGATCGCGACCACAACCACGACCACGACCATGACCATACGACCATGACCACGACCACGACCACGACGACGACCACGACGACGACGAAAACGACGACGATTGGGACGGTCAGGGCGACGTCCTCGTGCTCGTCGTACCTCGCCGCGGCGGGGAGGGGGCCGACAGCTGGCGCGGCTCGAGCGGCGAAGGCCGTCCAGCCGAGGTGCTTGGCGAGAGGGCGCGCGCCTCTCCGCCTCCCCGCTCGTCTGCCCCCACCCGGCCCCCCCCCGTCGTTCTCGAAGGGCAGGAAAGCGGCATGAAGCACAAACTCGCCGAGGACGCCGACGACCTTGAGATCCTTGCAGCTTTGGGGCGCTTGCAACGGTCTTCGGTGGTTTTCCAGCGTCGGGATGCGTTCCAAGAAGAGCGCCTCGTGGAGAGGATTCCGGGGGCGCCGGGGTCGTCACGAACGGCAGCCGGAGGGCCGAGCTGTGGCCCGACAGCCTCAGGGGGTTTCGCCGACCCTGGAGGGCCGAGGTGTGGGGTTGGGCCGCCCCTGAGTTCCTGGCGCCGCATCTGTCTCACAACGGTGGATTTTGCCTGGTTCCGGGCCCAAGGAACCTCACGGATGGATCCGGGGCGAAACAGTCAGCAGAGAGATGGGGTCCAGGTTTCCGGTCGAATTGTTGTATTGTTTTGCATTTGTTGCGCGACGTCGGATCTCAGGATCTCGCCGAGTCGTCGACGTCGACGGCGTTGTTCTTCAACGGGAAATATATCGATGTTGCCGCTCGTCCTCGAGAGCCTTTGTCACCACGGCTGGATTTGTGTTCGAGATTCTGGTCAGAATGCGACCGAGAAGAGGTCCAGGGAGAAGCGGTATCGGTACCTTTCTTTCCCCCCCCCCAGTTCCAGAAGTTTTGTGTCGGCGGCGCGCCCAGGGGGGAAGGCAACCAGGGCAGGCGTCCCCATGAAGGCTCAGGAGTCCTCGTGCTGGGTCGGGAATTTCAATCAAAAATCTAACAATCCTGGCCTGTCTGGTGGGGTAACATCCACGTACGAAAGAGGTTCGAGAAGCCTTCTTCTCAAGGGTGCCGGGCCGTTTCGGACCCCGTGGCCGTCAGACAGTTGTTTGGAGAGCAAAAATCAATCGACGTGGATGGACCCTGGAACGAGACAGCGGACTGATTTTGAGCAGACTTGCAAGCGAACAAGTTATCTGAATATTCAAGTTGGTGGAGGTCAGCGCTCATTTCTTGGATCGGTGCTTGTCCCCCCTCCTCACACCCGGGGCGGCGCCTATGGCGCCGCCCCCAGCGTGCTCCGTCCGCAAGAGGAGGGCGATCCGAGACATCCGCGCGGACTTCGGACAGTTTACGGTCATGTCGGTGTTTGCCCTTCGATTCTGCTTGCCTCCCCGCGCCGCGAAGACCGCGCCATGAAGAAGCCCGAGGATTGGGAGAAGGAAGAGGAGGAGGAGGAGGAGGAGGAGGAGGAGGAGGAGGAGGAGAAGGATCGATGATCGAGGCTTGCCGTCCTTTCTAACTTCTGGAAGCCTGTTTCGGGCCCTCGGACCCTCAGACATCAATCCGAGATGACAAAGTTATCCAGATAAGTCCCGGGAGGGATACGGGCATCGATGTCGAATTGATTTCTGAGTTACACCGAGGTGTGGGAGAGAGGGGAGGAAGAAGAGGATGGGGATGACGAGGACGAGGATGAGGATGAGGATGAGGAGAGTATGAGGAGGATGAGTAGGAGGAGGAGGAGAAGTAGGAGGAGGAGGAGCAAGATGAGTAGGAGGAGGAGGAAGGAGGACGAGGTGCGAGAAGCTAGAAGCGAGAAGCGAGGATTTGCCTTGCACATGTTTTATTCGTTCCTCTCTTCTTTGGAGGGCCTGTAGTGGCGTTGCCGCTGCCAACTCCGTCTCGAAATTATGGTCGGAATGCATTATTGGACAGGTCCAGGACTGGATTGTTGGGGACGAGGGGCAGGTGGTGGCAGCGGAGGTGAAGGGGCGGGGAGGATGAGGCGGGGCGTAGGAAGAGGAGGATGAGGAGGAGGAGGAGGACCAGTGTAAACCCAAGAGTCATCAACGATGTTGGAATTAACGCTCCCTCCAAGCCTCCCTCTTCATAGGCCCCTACAACGGTTCATTTCCATTGAAGGAACTGCCTCGCTGGAAGACAACAGTTTGAAGACCTTGAAGCATACCAAAACATTGTTCTCGGGATCTGCACGCCACGGATCAACCTGACTGCTGCGTCTTGACGATCCGGAATCGTGCCTGAACTCTTGTTGGGGGGCTTGAACACCGCCAGCCATCATAACTATTGCACCCGCGTGATCTCGAATCCTTCCACAACACCACTTCTGGTATGTTGATTCTGGGAATCCGTGAAACTCTTTCAATTTTTGAAAAAAGAATGTGCGCGGCGCTGCGGCGAGAGCCACCTTTTGAAAAGGAACCGCCCCCAATCCGTGAAACTCTTGTGCGAATGTTTAGAACGAATGTGCGCGGCGCTGAGGCGAGAGCTACATGTTGAAAACGACCCCCCTGAGTCCATGAACATCTTGCAAGTGTTGGAATCGAATGTGCGAGGCGCTAAGACAAGAACCACATATTGAAAACTACCTGCCCTGAATCCGTAAAACTCTTATTCTTGTTTAAAGCGAGTGTGCGCGGTGCTAAGGCGAGAACCACATTTTGAAAACGACCCGCCCCCAATCCGTGAAACCCCTGCGGATGATTACACCTAATGTGTGCGGCGCTAAGACGAGAGCTACATTTTGAAAACGACCCGCCCTGAATCCCTGAAACTCTTTTCATGTTTTGAAACGAGTGTACGCGGCGCTAAGGTGAGAGCCACATTTTGAAATCGACCCGCCCCCCATCTGTGAAATTGTTGCCATTTTAGCTTCAGGGTCATAAATGGTGAGGAAGTCTCGGGCGAAACGCCCGGCCCGCCCTTAAAATTGGCTTCGGGGTGCGACAGGAAGAAGTTATTTTTCAAGAAAAAGGGATGTAGGAGGAGGATGAAGAGGAGCAGGGAGGAGGAGCAGGGACGAGGAGGATGAGAAGGAAGAGGAGGAGGACGAGGAGCGAGAAGCTAGAAGCGAGAAACGAGGATCGGCCATGAACATCTTTTATTCGTTCTCCTCTTCTTTGGGGGGCCTGTTAGTGGCGTCGCCGCTACCAACTCCGTCTCGAAATTATGGTCGGAACGCACTCTTGAACAGGTCCAGGACTGGGTTTCGGGGACGAGGGGCAGGAGGCGGCAGCGGCGGTGAAGGGGCGGGGAGTAGTAGTAGTAGTAGTAGTAGTAGTAGTAGTAGCAGTAGTAGTAGTAGTATGATGATGATGATGCTGATTTCGATGATGATGATGATGGTGATGATGATGATGATGATGCTGACGATGATGATGCTGACCATGATGCTGATGCTGATGCTGCTGATGATGATGATGATGATGATGCTGATGCTGATGCTGATGCTGATGATGCTGATGATGATGACGATGAAGATGAAGATGATGACGATGATGATGCTGATGCTGAGGCTGATGATGATGTTGAGGAGGAGGAGGAGGAGGAGGAGGACCAGGGATGGACAGGAAAGAGCAAAACGAGGTGGACGAGCCGAGCATCAGGGAGGAGCAGTGGCAGAGCAGGAGCAGCAGGAGGATTGATGGGCGCAATGAGCAGTGAGGAGAAAAGATGGGGAAGGAGGAGGAGGAGGAGGAACATGAGGAGGAACAAGGAGCAGGAGGAGTCCCTCCTCCCCGTGAGGAGCTCAATCTCGAGTCCATCATCGAGCAATGCCTCGAGGTACCCCATGCGAAGTTTAGACGTTGCCCTCGTCACTCCTCGCTCACTTGCCTTGCCACTGGCCTGCCTTTCTCCCCCCCTTTCCCCCTCCTTTTCGCTCCTCCTCTCTCTTTTCTCCCCCCTCCTCGTGCCCTTTGCTCCCTCCAGAGCGACTTCGGCGTAATATGCAAGGTTTCCACGCAGACCGCACGGATACCACTGACCACTGATCCGCTGCAGCAGCGCATGTCATTTTAGAGGGCAGTCCGCCTTGTATCCTTTCCGTCCGTAGGCAGTTCGCTTCGTCCACGGACTGCGTGCGTACACGGCCAGCGTGGTCTGCCCAACGCGTGGCAAGAAGGTGTCTTTCCATCCGCGAGGATGCATATGGATACCGATAGTGGCAACGATTACCTTTTTTGGGTGCGTGCTGTCTGGGTAGAGCGGGCCAGGCGCTGGCGTGGGTCCTGCTGGGCGCTCTCGTCAAACCGACCGCTGACATCGACCAAGGTTGGTACCACGCTTCAAGAGGGGAAAGAAGCGTCATTACGTGCCCGAGCTGTTTGCCCAAGAAGCACGAGGGGGGCCCTCTGCTGCAATCGGTGTGGGTCGTCACTGATCCGGAGGCAGAACGTGGAACCACCATAGACACCAGTACCGAAACGGAGGGAGCAAATGACGCGAAACGGTTCGACTGCAACTTCTTGGCCACCGCGGGCTCGAGCGAAACAATGGGGCTCGAGCAGACGGACACCGACGAACAGGAAACACGCGAGCTGCAGGCGGATACACAATTCCAGGAGGTCCTGCAACTGATGTTCAAAGAAGGCCTTCGATCAAAACATCGCGAACAATTGAAGCGCTCAAAGTGCTTGCGCAGTGGCCCGAAGTTAATTATCGAAAGCGTCGAACAAAAAGGGTCAGCCATGGCTGGTGGCAGCGAGACCGCCGCCGGTTCCGTCGCAGGTGTAGCGGCGGCAAAAGCGACGTCAGGAGTCAACAAGCAAAAAGCAAACGATAACGATGGCGAGCCCAGCGGCGTGGGAGCAATGCCACATGACATGCCTTCTCGTTCAGCAGAAATGCGATCGTGCCCCCCTCGACGAGAGAGGCGCGCCTGGGCTGGCATGTGGTTCCAGGATTTACCAGACGAGCCATGGACAAACGCACAGGATTTGGGCATGTGGCGCGCAGCTGGCCATGGACAGGTCCGGCACATGTCACGCAGTATTGTCATCCCTAACGAGCGCCTCAGTCGCAACCCCCGCAGGCGGTTGGAGGGCGCCATCTGATCCACATGCTGTGCATCAGACCATGGCACATTCAGTTTCGAGGCGAAGTGCAGTACTTGGGCATCTCGACAAGACAACCCTTGAAGTCAGGCGGCCGCGGCGGCGCGTCGCCGTCTGGAGCGCCCGGGCCATCTTTCGGTCATTGCCCGCAGGAGCGATGAATGGATCGCCCATCACCCATTGCAGTTTCTCTCCCGGCGGAGACTATGCAATCTCAGACTCGCGACGGCATTCCAGGAGGGGCGGGCGCCCCCGAACTGGCGGGCGCGCGGCAGCGACTGGCGCGCTGTCGGCGGGCTTCGGGGCCCGCGATGGCGACGCGCAGGCGTTCGGGCGTTCGGCGCGCTCAAAGCGCGCCGCGCGAAGGATGAAGCCCGCGCAATAGGCCCGCGATGAAGGCCGGGGCCGCCGGGGGAAACGCGGGGCGCAGCCCCTGGGGCGGCCCCAGTCGCGCCCTGGGCGGCGGCGCGAGGCAGTTCGCGAAATCGGCGAGATGCCTCGCCGGAAAGCCCCGCCTCTACCGGACAGGAGAGCTAGCGGGGGCCCGAGGCTCGGGGCTCGCAGCTAGGCGCTCCTCGACCCAGCCTCGCGAGTCGCCGCGCGCTTCGCTGGGGCAGTTGGCGCTGCCGTGGCATTGCCATGGCCCCCCCGCCGTCGGTCGAGCACAACGTTGCTGCGCCGCTGTCCACCAGGCGCGCTGGGCAGCCGCGCGCGGGCTCGGCGCCGGGCGGGTTGCGCGTTGCGTCGCGCGATTTCCAGCTGGGCAACAGCGAGCAAAACAACGCTCCAATCATGGGCATGGCGGCGTCGATCTCCAGGGCCCCATTCGCCCGGACTTCGCCCCGCCGCGCCCATTGGGGAGTGGGCGCCATCGTCGAGCGAGGTCCCTGGTCACACTTTGCCCGCGAGGAGGGGGTGCCTAGCGCCTGGCCCAGGGGCGCCGCGCGGGTCGCGGGTCGCCGCCCTGCCTCGACGCGGACCTCAGCGGGGCGGATCGCGTCGCGAGCCAGGGCGATCGCACGCGGTCGCGCGCGCGCCCCATGGGCAGCGAGAGCAGGGGGAGATCGCGCAGCGGTGCCGGGCCAAGGGGAAGCGCGGCAGGAGTCACGCCCGGGGGGCTCGGCCGCGGGCCCCAGCTTCGCCGCGCGGCCGCGACGCGGCGGGCGGCCCGGGTCGAACCGCCGGGGGTGCCTTGCTTGCGACGCGGCGCGGCAAGACTTGGAGCGGCGCGCGTCGGCCCGCCCACGGGCATGGGTAGCCGGGTCGTTCATGCGTTTCGCAAGTTGGCGGTCCATTCGGCGCCGTGGAAGTCGCCGCTGAGTCGTCAGCGCCCCCGCGGGCGCGCGAGGTTTCCAGGGGGCCGCTGCCGGCGCCAGCTGCTCGCGTGACGCCAAAGTTTGGGGCGCGGAAAGACTCGAGTTGAGCGGGCCCCATTCGCGCGTGCTTGATGGGCTCTGGACAGCAGCAGCTACTTCATCCGTTCGATTGCTGCGTCGCCGATCTCGCATCTGGGTCGGGCGCGCCGTCGCGCGGGGCGCATCGCTTCTTGCGTCGCCCCCCTGCGCGACAGGGGAGGCGCGGGGGCGAGCGCCGGGCGAGCGCCGATTGCCCGAAGGTTGGGTTGAGTAAATGGTGCCATCCATTCGCCCGCATCACGCGTCGGGCCCCATTGGCAAAGCCAGCTCTGCGTCCAAGGCGCTGGGCGCCCCCGCCGCGCCAGCGCGACCATTTTGTCTTCGCGCGGCACCGCTGGGCGGCCCATTGCAGGAGATCGCGCGCTCGGCGAGCGTGTTCGGCGCGGCCCAGTCCGTTTCTGGTTGCGCGATGCCCATTCAGGCGTTCCAGTGCACGAGTTCAGAGCTGACGAAATCTCAACCGCTTGCGGGAGGTTCTTCGCGGGGCGCCAGCGCGGGCAACATCGAGGGGGGATCTGGGGGGATTTACGCAGGCTTGTCGACGGGATCGGGGCCGTCAGCATCGCGTCCGAGTGGATGTCCAGCCGCAAAGTGAACCTGTGAATGCGCGCAGGTGTTCCCTTTGCCTAGCGGGGAGGGAGCCGTCGGGCTGAACCGTGGGAGCGCTGATGCATCCCAAGTCCCCGTTGAGATCCTCACGTAAGCCCGCGAATTGTTTGCCCGTCCCACGCTAAGTGGTCCTACGTGTTCTGAACCATGTATCCAAATCGCGACGGCCTGGCGCAGATCTCACCCCAACTCCAAAGCTTCCCCGGAGCTCCACGCAAGGGCCTGAAGCGGGGGGGCGGGGGAAGCGGTTCTGTACATCGGGCTGTTGACATAAAAGCGTTTGGGTGAGAATTTGGGCGCAACCGTGTGGGGGCTGCCCCCTCTCGGCGTTCGAGTTGCCCATCCAGCTGGCGAGTTGTGTTTTCTGTGTGCTGTGACGCGCGAGCCCCGACTGCATAGGATAGCCCAGAAATGCGTCGGGAGGCCACTGCCAGGTAGTTCCAAGCATGATCAGCGTAGGACGTGATTAGGAGCAAGGACCAAGACGGAAAGAGGTGGGGGGACGGGTTCCGGTTCCACCGTCTTGTTCGTTCCAGTCAGTGGAGTAAAGCCTAAAAGTGTTCACCTTGTCTTCTGGCTCTAACTGGTTAGCTTCCCCGTCCTTTCGGAACCTCTTTCGCCATCCTAGTTTGGCTTGCGCCTGCTCTTCCTTCGTCCCCCGTCATCCCCTTCCCCCGTCCACCTTGTCATCATTATCCTTTGCCCCATCCACTTTGTCATCATTATTTTTTGCCTCCTCCTTCGTTCTCCTTCCCCTTTTTCCTCTGCCCTCCGCGGGGCGCGTGCGACGCCCCGGTGACAGGCGCGGTGAGGTGAGGTGCCCGCTCCAGCGATACGGGGGTGGTCGCGTACGCCGTGCCATTCCCTTGCGGGGAGGAGGAGGAAGAAGAGGAAGAGGAGGAAGAAGAGGAAAAAGAGGAGGAGGAGGACGAAGAGTACGAGGAGGAGGAGGAGGAGGAGGAGGAGGACGACGACGAAAACGAGGACGAAGAAGCTTTTCGTCGGAAGGACGATCACCCTCACCACCACCTGGGGTTGGGTGGATGCGGGGTGATGGTGTCTATCTCTTCGAACGGTTTCGCGAAACCTCGTGCGCATCTGCGGTTCACAGATCAACGAATGTTGCCCTTCCTCTCCTCCAGGTGGTGTTGGTGAGCTGTTTGCTACATAATGTGTTTGCCTGTGCTCGCTGGAAGCACTTCTTGGCGAGGTGCTGTTTCTGCAGGGTCTCGGAGATGTGTTATTTTAGTTTTGGGGGGCTGGGCGGAGGGAGTGGCAGGGTGGGGACAGTAGGCCAAGGTCAGGAGAAGGATCAGGAAGAGGACCAGCAGGAGGGAAAGCAGGCAGCGCAGGAGAAGCAGTATAAACACGATGAGGCTGGAGGAGGGACGGTTGATCCGCAGCAGTCGTGAGAGGGAGGAGGAGCTACGAGGAAAAGGAGGCGCCCGATGTCTAGATCTTTGGCGGGGCTGACCGAGGTCAGGGGCGCTAAGCCGGGCAAGATGGTGACCGTGCCGGAGGGCCAGCTCAAGGCGCTGTGCTCGGCAGTGCGCGAGATCGTCCTGGGCCAGAACACTCTTCTGGAGGTGGAGGCGCCGCTCAAGATACGAAGGGCTGCGCCCTCAGCCGCCGGCCCCACACGCTGAAGCACCCTGAGGTCATGTTGGTGCCCTCCCGAGGCCCGCTTGAGCCACCTCCAGAGGGGGGCCCGACCGCATTCCGGTGGCGGAGAGGACACGGGACACCGCCAAGGTAGCAGTCTGGCACACCTCCGCAGCCTAGTGCCCCGAGGGGGCGCCCGCGGATCTGCGGCGACATCCATGGCCAGTACCACGATCTCCTCCGCCTGTTCGAGTATGGTGGTTTTCCTCCAGACAGTAACTATCTGTTCCTCGGCGATTACGTCGACCGCGGGACGTCGTGGGCGAAAAACAGATCCGTATCCGCAGTCTCGCGGGCTGGGCCCCTGGGCCGCGACCCCGCGGATATGGATACCCCGCGCGGAACGCACCCGTGCGACCGCGTATCCGAGGGATCGCGCCCTGGAATCCAGACCGCGAGGGTGTGGGTACGGATGTGTTCGCCTCTCGTGAGGAAGCAGAGTTTGGAGGTGATCGTGCTCCTGTTTGCCTATAAGATAAAGTTCCCGGAGAATTTCTTCTGTCTTCGCGGCAACCACGAGTGCGCGTCCATCACGCGCATCTACGGCTTCTACGACGAGTGCAAGCGGCGCTACAACATCAAGCTCTGGAAGACCTTCTGCGATGTCTTCAACTGCCTCCCAGCCTGCTCCCTCATCGATGAGAAGATTATCTGCATGCACGGCGGCTTGTCTCCTGAGATCAGCGACATGGAGCAGATCCGTAGGATAACGCGGCCAACGGACGTGCCAGACAACGGGCTCCTCTGCGACCTCCTCTGGGCCGACCCCGACAAAGACATTGCTGGCTGGGCCGAGAACGACCGCGGGGTCTCTTTCATCTTCGGGCCTGACGTGGTGAGTACTTTCTTGTCTAAGTTGGACATGGACTTGGTGTGCCGTGCGCACCAGGTTGTGGAGGACGGCTACGAGTTTTTCGCCAAGCGCCAGTTGATCACGCTCTTCAGCGCTCCGAACTACTGTGGGGAGTTCGACAATGCCGGGGCGATGATGAGCATCGACGAAACGTTGATGTGCAGCTTCAAGGTGCTCAAGCCCGTGAAGGGTAAGGCTGCCCGCTAGGAATGCGATGATGCCTGAAGTAGTCAAGTGTTCCTCGCTCTCACTCCCCCTCTCCTTCCAATCCTGGCCGCCTTTAATCGCGTAGTCTGCTGCTGCTGAAGAAGTCCATGAGATCATCACGCAGTGTCCAAAATGCCAGGGCCTTGCGCAGATATTGGCGTGCAGCGAGGCAGGGTAGACGTAGACACAGAGGGACATGGCCAGGCGATGGAGACAGGCAGAGAGGATGTCTTGTGTGCGAGGAGGCGGCACAGGCAAATGGCTAGATTCACTCCAAGGCACCAAGTCGTCTATGACTGTAATTGGCCTTAAATGCCTAGAGTGGTGCAGCCTCTGTCAGATGCACACTCATGCTCCCCCTCCTCTCTAGCACGCCCGTAGCCCCATATAGACCCCAGAACCTGAAGCAACTCCCTGCGTTCCCCCTCCCCATACAGCTTCCCGAAACCCTGCTTCCAAGAACCCCAGATTTGGGAAGCTCTAAACCTCATAAAGCGTCAGCGCTGTCCGGGGAACCCTTCGACAGTCCTGCTCGTGTCAAGGCTGAGGTAGTCGGAAGGGCTCACGTTTTTGCCGGTTTCTTGGGGCTGAGGGCGTCGTCCCCGATGTTGTCATACGGGCCTTGGGGGGGGGTCGTCGGGAGATCGATGCCTCTCTTCCCCCTGCTTTTCCTCCCCCCCCCTCTGCTCTCCCCTCCCCCCAGCCCCTGTTTCATCCTATACATACTGACATTGATGTTGCCATCACCGTCGTCACATCCCACCCTCAGATGCGAAAGCCGGTCTAGGCAGAGGAATTCAGCGGTACGGTCGCCCTGCTTCGCCAGCCGAAACTCCAGTACTGCCATTATTGCAGGTTTCATGTCAGGTCTGGACACCATTTTGTAGCATGAGCTCTCCTTTGTGAGACCAGTTAGAAGGAGGAGCCATAAAGGACAGTCTACACGAACCGCAATTCTCATTTTCCACACTCTTCCTGCTTCTCCTCCTGATCCCTTGCCCCTTCCCTCTCTCATTTCCCCCTTCCTCCCTCTCCCATCCTTTTCCTGTTCCTGGTTCTCCCTCTCTCATTTCCCCCTTCCCTTGATGCTGCCTCCTCCTGCTTCTCCTCCTCATCCCTCCCCATCCTCCCATGTGTCATGTGATCCTCATGCTCCGTCTCCATCCCCCTCTTCTTCTCCTCCCTCTCCCTAGTTTCTCATCGTCCTAGCTCTCTTCCTCATCCTCCTGCTCCTGCTCCCTCCTCCGCCTGCCCCCCCCCCCCCCTCCTTTTCTTTGTCCTCCTCCTGCTCCGTTCTTCTCCCTCCTCCTCCTCCCTCATCCTGCTCCCTTCTCCTCCTCCTCCTCCTGCTCCTCCTCCTCCTCCTCCTCCTTCTCCTCCTCCACCTCCTCCTCCTCCTTTACTTTGTTCATCTCCGTTCCCTCATCATTCCTGCTGGGATCAGGAGGCGGTCTGGCGGCTTCGAAGGCAGGCTCTGGGGGGGGGAAGGCGAGCGGGCGGAGGCACATCGCCCGCCTGCGAGAGGGCGCTCGCACGCGGGGCGGCGTCTTCCTAGGTCCGACGGCGACGCTGGGATCTGAGGTTCGGCAGGCGGTGGCGACGCACCCTCGGACCTCAAGTTCTCGGACGTTTCCGCGGGCTTTCGCGCATGCTCGGAGGGCTTCCGGCGTCGGAATGTTCTCGAGCAGCTGCGCCTCGCCGGGAGCGTGCCGGGGGTTCTCGGGTCGTCCGGAAGGGCCGGTGGAGAGCCGATTTGCAACCGGGAGACTCGGCCTCCGCTGAGATTCTGGCTTTGGGGCTCGAGTGTCCAGGCTTTGGGCCGTCGAAGTTCGAGTGTCCAGGCTTGGGCCGTCTCGGGGCCCCCTGGGGCATTGGAAGGGGAGGGGGGCCCTCGCGGCCACGGCTGGATGCGTCTCGGAAAATGTCCGTCGGAAAAGTATCCCTGGCGAGGTTTGAGGGTCGACTCTGGGAAAGGCAGCACACACACCTGGAATTACGAACTGGTCGCGGCGGCGGTTTTTCTAAGTTCGGGCCGTTGGAGTTCCGTTTCGGTGGGTGTATGCGAAAACGACCCGGGATGAACAGATGGCCCCCAGAATAAGGTTGAGAGGTCCAGGTGCCCATGTCAGATAAAGACACGGCACCAGATGTCCGAGGGTGCATGTTGCCTTGGCATGCTGAGCGCACAGCATGGTGCACGACCGACGTTTTTTGGGCAGCGTGCGCAGCACTTCCGCAAGGCCGCTATAGCTAAATGTTCGTGCTGAGATGTTCGGGAGTTGTGCTGCTCTTGCTCCTGTTCATATGCGGGTTCTGTTGTTGTTTGAGCAATCGCCCAGAAATCGATGCTACATGGTTTTTATTGCCCTTCCTCCGCAGCTACTATTAATGGTTCTCCATCTTGCCAACTCTACATCGCACCTCTTGCAGCTGCAGCATGTGCAGGAAGCCATGTCACGATGCGCTGGGTTCGTGCTGGAGACAATGATGAACGCGGTACTGCACGTGGAGACTGAGGAGCAAACGTCTCACCTCCACCTCCTCCTCCATTTCCCCATCCCCATTTACCTTCTCCCTTAACTCTGCTTTCTTGTCCAAGTTTTCCCCCATGGATGCATAAGCCCGTGTCCAATATCCAAACTTCCTCGTTCATATCTCCCGCCTTATTCGTTTTGTCATCCGTCGCCAGTTTGTTTCAAGCAGTGAGGCCGCAGCAAACAGTGATGCCCCGAAGCGTCAGGACACCCTGGCAATGATGGAACATTGCTGCCAATTCTTGATCGGCATAGCAATGCCACCATGATGGTCGCACGGTGGCTATCATACTCCTTGAGCAGCTGTGCGACCTAAATGGAACAGCATGTTGACAGAGAGGCACGTATGCCGTCAAGCTCAACGAGACATGTATTTCGATATGCCCGTTGGCCAACCTTAGTGGCGATGTGCAGCAACCGATGGGAGGCATGTAGTGGATGATGCACGAGGATATCCTACCTCAGCCGTTTCTTTTCGAATTGGTGGCACAGTTCCAGCATCGTTAAGGTACTTTGATCTATTGTTGGAGGCATGCATACAGACGGACTGCAAGACGCCACCATTCGTATTGTTTGGAGCGCATTCCGTTGTGCTCAGAACCGCCGCGATACCATGAATAGATAGGGTGTTGGTCGCGCTACTAAGCCGGACAAACATGACGGGAAGGATATTGTACGAGTCTAGACATTGTGTTGTTTCTATGTTTGCCCAGGTTTCTGGCGAGGGCAGCAGCGAGGATAAGCATAATCAGGGCCAGGTTTTTCAGGAATTTGTGTTGTTATGACTAGCTTGGTTTGCGCGGGGCGGAAATGATCACTTGTGGCTACAAGGTGCGCATACGTTGTGTTTCCAGTTTCTCTCCCAAGATGCATCATGGGGCATGGCCTACTTTCAGACAAGGCTGGCACGCGTTACATGTGTGATGAAATGTTGGCGGCGTTCCCGCAATGAGGCTTGAGATCGAAGCTATCTATGGATATGTGCACCTGCCACTTGAGCGGAGGAACGCGTGGAGACATGACACCGTTCCGCTGCTACCAGTTTCCAGATGTGCTCCTCTTGTGAAAACGGCGCCGAGCAGCACATGACTCTGCGCCAGCAGAGCGCGTGGTATTTCCATGCCCTGGTGGGTAACATTCTGGGCGGCGACAGCGACGCGGAATGCATCCGAGGCCTGCGGGCCAAATGTCGGCCCGCCACCTCTCCCCCTGGAGGAACGTTTCCTTGCGTCTCGCCTAGTCTCGTCTTTCCCTTTTCTCTGTCACCCATCAGCATGATTGTCTCCCATCACCCCCTTCCCCCTCGCTGTCATCTACCCTCCTTGTTCACCCTCCTCTTCTCGGCTAGTATCGCCAATAGAGATATGGAGGCGGTGAAAGAAAACGTGGTTAATGACTTAATGTGGACTTTCGACACATCCTGGTCTGTCCCTCCAGAACTGACGCCTATGTGTGCGAAGTGTGTGAGATCGATCTTTACCCAGGGATGGGTCTACATCGTTGCATGCCATGTGGCTGTATGCTTTGCGAAACATGCTACCGCATGTGCCAATGTACTTTTGCATGCCGCCTGGTCTGCCGAACGATGCTGGAGGCGTCCCTGTCATCTTCATTGGCAGCAACGCAGAAGATTGATAGTCTGTAGGTTGAGCGCAGCCGACGATGTGCCCAGACAGGGGGTGCACGTGTCTGAAGCACGCGCCGTGGTTGTCCGCACCCCCATTCGATGTGTTTCACGATTCCTCCGGATGATGGGAATTGGACAGAAGTTAATTCTCGAGGCGGAGATGTCTGAAGCATGTTCCGTGGCTGGCCGAACCCCGCATTCCCAGACTTCCGATGAATTGAGTTTTTCAATCCCGCGAGCTCCACAGGTCCCCCCCTTCCCCGCGGGACAGCCCCTCGTCCTGGGTCAAGTTCGATAGCCCCAGGGCCCGAAAACCACCAACAGAGGTCGAAGTGAAGAAAGAGCGCCAAGGTAAAAACGGAGGTTTGTCAGCATGGGCCCCGAACGGTGTGTTCTACAGGCTCGGAAGTATTTCTCCTAATGCCGCACCAAGGCCCAACAACGCCGGAATGATAAATGAGTTCTGCGCCCAACCTCGTCCGCATCTGCGGGCGCGAGGTCCAAACGCCCCCCCGTGGGATTTTGAACGGGCTTCCGCTTGCGGGGGCGGCCCTGGGGGGATCCACACATTTACTTCGAACTGTATTGAGGAGAGTGGGTGGAGCCTGGTTTGGGCGATTCTGCTTGGGACGTTCTCAGAATCTGCCTGGTTTGGCCTGGTTTGGCCTGGCTTGGCCGCGCGACCCGCCTGAGACATCCTCAATCTTTGCCTGGTGTGGCCCCTGGTTTGGGCTCGGTTTCGCCGGAGACGTCCTCAATATTTGCTTGGTTTCGCTTCGGTTTAGCCTGGCTTGGGCCTGGTTTCGCTTGAGACGTCCTCAGAATTTGTGTGGTTTCGCCCTTGTTTGGCCTTGTTTGGGCCTGCCTTGATACGTCCCAGCAAGTTGCCTGGTTTGGCCTTGTTTTGCTTTGGTATCAGCCTTGTTTCGCTTGAGACGTCATCAGGATGTGCTTGTGTTCTGTCTTGTTTGGGGTGATTTCGGCTACGTTTCGCTTGAAACGTCCTCACACTTTTCGGTAGTGATTCGAGCTGGCCTACTGCACAATAAAAATGATCAAATGTATACACGGTTGCATTACATCCTTTATGGTCGCCGTGCGGGCTTAAAAAAGAGTGTGATGCGTTACGTTGTTCTTCGACGCCGAATGATTAATTAACTCACGTCTTGGTGGGCGTGCACAAAACAAATCAATGGCATCGTGTCGTGAATGCCCAGTGTGGTCCATATGTAACATGACTGCGCTACAACATGGCGGGCGACATGGGTTAGGCCATTCCCAACAGTCTATGTGTCGGCATGGGCGTGTGTGGCGGCGTTCGGGGAAAACCTTTCCCGAGGCTGATCAGGCTCTGAAGTGTTTCTCCGAACGCCACACAAAGCCCAAGCAGCGCCCGCATAGCAAATGAGCTTCTGTGCCCAATCCCGTCCGCATCATCGGGCGCCCGGTCCAAACGCTCGTCCCCATCAACGTCTACACGGATTTCCGTTTACAGGATGCCATCGCCTAGGCAACTCCATGGCAGACGGTTTCGCAAAGAAGGGGGCGCTAGGGACGAGCGTGCGATGCGGTCGTCCATGCCTTGGTTCAGGGCTTTGGCCAGGCAGGTGTTTTTATATTGTTGCTAGGCGTGCGACAACGACGGGAGAGACAATCAAACAGGATCGCTCGCCGTTCGATCTTGCAAAGGTGGATTTGGGAGGGTGGTCAGGACAGATCCTAGAGAACCAGGACCCAGCCGAACCCCAACATCCTTCTCCTGTGGTTGAGCCATTTCCGAATGTTGTTGCCTCCTCGGGGGCTTCGGCGAGGGATCTGTGTGGGGGGGCAGTCATGGACAGAGGCCTGCTCAGATACGCCCCGTGGGAGGCCAATGCTCATGCCTTTTGGCGGCCCAGGCCCCTGAAGGGGACCGGGTACTTTTTTGCTCCTCGTGCTGACGTTTCGCGATTGCGCTCATGTTCCGAAAGATGTTCCAGAAGGACGAGCATCCCACGAACACGTGCTCGTTTTCTGGCAACGTTTGCGCCCCCTCCGAGGCCACTCGCGTGAGTTGGTCAAGCCACTGCGGCGCGGCACAACAGGGGTCGTTTGTGCAGGCGAGTCCGAGAGCGCGGCCTTTCATCGAGTAGGCAACCCCAGGCAGAGTGGAGTTGGCTGCGGTCCTTTTAGCCGTTGGACTGGGCTCCTGTGGGGAGGTGAGATTGCTAGGCGTCCGAGAGTTGCAAGTCTGGGCCCAGCCTCAGCCGAGTAAGGTCAAATGGGACGCCTGCCCCAGTGGCCATGCGATTTTGTTTTGGGGCGGGGGGGGGGGGGCATGTCGGCGGGACCCGCCTGGGGATTGAACCCCAGGCGGGAAACAACACATTTTCCTCTGCTGGGCACCCCCACCCCTTTTTCGTTCTCACTCCTTTGATCACCCCTCATGGGCACTGAACCCCCAGCCTCCCTACCGCCCGCGTGCGTCCACTAGTTCAACGTGGCGATGCTCGTGGTCAGCTAGCTTGGGCGGGCGCGCGGTGACGGGATGGTAGCCGCGGCGCCAGGGTTTGCTGGCCGTCCTGCGGCACTTCCACAGACGGACCCCAGATAAGCATTGCCTTTCTGGGGGCGCGATGGTCGTAACCCCCCTCCCCCCCTCCCTCCCTACTCCCTCCGCTCTCTCCTCCCTCCTCCCTCGCTCCCCTCTTTGTCGCGATAACTCTTGTTTCTCCGCCCAGTGGCCGTTGCCGCCCGTTGCCCCGAGGAGGGCGCCGACGCGGCGCGCCAATGGCTGCGGCAGGTGCACCTGCTGCGGGACCAGGCGGTGGCCGTCTCGGGGCGCGGCAGTTTCCAGGCCCCCCCCCCCGGGGGCCTTAGCTGCCATGATACGCCCGCTATAAAACGCAATACGTACCGTGTTCAAGATGTCCGTGGCAACACGCTGCATGTCGGCTCGACACGTGTTGGGCCACGCTTTGGCGAACGTATCGCACCAGACCTCCGTGTTCAGTGTACGTGTTGAGGTGTTGAGCCCCGTGTCAACACGCTACGTTTTGCGTGTTGCGTATCGGGGCAGCCTCCCCCCCGCTGGAGCGGGGAGAGGGGAGGGTCTACCTGTGACGTCGTCGTTCATCTTTGGATCGATCCGTGAGGGTCCCGTCGCCCGAAACAGGGCGTGGTGAAAAAGAAAAAACGTGCGACGCCAGGATATCAGGGCTGGACCTCTCCCGCAGTGCGCTCTGACCAGACTTCCGAGGCAGGTGCAGCCGTGGCGACGAGAGACGGGTAGCAGTTGACCAACCCCTTCCCTGGGGCTTGTTCCACGTTTTGGGTCCTTTGTGTATGGCCCCAGGCCTCTATAGACCCCAGAAGTAAAGTCTACCCTAGGCCTTCTCTTCGGTCCTACCCCTAGGGCTACCCTAGGCCTACCCCTACGGGCCTGCCCTACGCCTACTCCTGCGGTTACTCCCAGGTCCTACCCCTGGGGGTACCCTAGGCCTAATTACCTTTAGGGCCTACCCCTAGGGCTACTCCTAGGGCCTACCCATACGGCCTACCCGTAGGCCTACCCTAGGCCTGCCCCTAGGGCCTACCCCTAGGGCTACCCTAGGCTTACCCCTGGGGTTTAGCTGTGGAGAATTGTTTTGGCCAGAGGAAAAAACACTAGAAGGGAGGAGGTGGAGGTGGAGAGGAAAAGGAGGAGGAGGTGGAGGAGAAGGAAGAGGAGGAAGAGGAGGAGAACAAGGGAGAAAAGGAGGAGGAGGAAGACTGAGGAGGAGGAGAAGGTGGAAAGGGAGGATGAGGAGGAGTAAGAGGAAAAAGAGGAGGAGGAGGAGGAGGAGAATAAGGGGGAGGGGGATGAGGAGGAGGAGGAGGAGGAGGAGGAGGAGGAGGAGGAGGAGGAGGAGGAGGACATCGAGAACTGGGGGTGGGACGTGGGGAGCAAGGGCAGCGCGGGCGAGCATGGTGGCCCGCTGCGGCTGCTCCGGCTCAAAACCGAGCGACTGAGGCCTGCGCGCGGCGGCGCGGGCCTGCGCCCGAAGGCGCGGACATCGAGAGTGCTGGTGCGGCTGTTGCGCCAGCGTCGTGAGGAAAGGCCTCTCGACCTGGTAGCGGAGCTTCGGTCCACCACGGACTGAGGGCTCCAGTCGTGCCATTTTGTGACGAGGGTTGGCCGTCTCCAGCCACAAGCAGGTCATCGAGGTGACCAACGGCGAGCAGGTGGTTTCCATCGAGGTGGGATGCGACCACGGCTCGGACCACGGGGTCGTCTTCTGGCCGGCCATATTCTGGTGTTTCCCCTGGCTGGACTGCTCCTCTTGGACAACATGGAAAACATACAGCTCGAGGTGATGGGTTCCTTGAAGGTCCCGCCTGCGTGGAGTCCTGCGTAGGACAGAGCCTACCCGTACAGGTTTGGCTCGCGGGCGTGACGATGTGGGCGGCGGCGGCGGCGGCGGCGCGACAAGTCCTTCCAGAACAGCAAGGACCGGCAGTGGCCGTGCGACTTGGAAATGCAGCGCGCAGTCTGGCGAGGGAGATATTGCAGGTGCAGCTACGCGACGGAGCGTTTGCGGACCCTGGCGACGGGAACGGAGCGAGGCAGCTGACGGGTCTCCATTTGTTTCTATTTGTTTTGTCGAAGGCGTTCGCGCCGCTGGGTGATGAGAGCGAGCTGCGCGCGACCCATCATATGTTGGGGCTCTATCGGAAGAACCACGAGAACATAGACGAGGTGCTATCGAGGTTCGAGGTCACACGCAGGAGAGCCGCGACAGTGACATTGGGAGGATTTAACTTGGGCCCGCAGGGCTATGCGCGCATGCTGCTGAACGCTCCCAACTGCAGCCCGCAAGAATGAAACGAATTGCTCATTCACTTCCGCGGCCATCTACCTAGTACGGAGCAGCAGTTCAATGAGTTGGTCGAGTACGTCAGGAGGCATGGGCACATCTTGGAGAAGGGGCCGATGGCAGTCAACAGGAGCAGCGGCAAAGGCGGCTACATAAGCGGCACTTTCTGTTTTTCCCCACCTTCAACATCGGCGGCGGAGGAGGACAGCCAAGTGATTGACATGGCGGAGGGTTTGGATTCGGAGCGGGACGCGGCATGATTCCTGCCAGAGTTTATCTCAAGAAGCTCAAGGATCGGGGTGGAGTCCAACGGCGCCATGCTCGGCGGCGGCAGGTTCATTTGACTCGTGGCCCAACTACCTGGGTTTCGACGACGCCGAAGACGACGACGCGGACACAGATGAAGAGGGCGGCGAGGACCAAGACGGATCAGATTTCCCTGGCACCATGGGCATTGACGACGATGTGATCCAGCAGCACCGCTACCAGAACTACGCATTCCACCAGAAGCGCTGGAGGATATTCACAGGTCGGCCCACTCGGTTTCAGTGCCCCAGTAGGAAGAGAGCGGCAAAGGATCAGCGATTCCAGTTCCGAGGAGCCATCGGACAGCGCGGACACGGAGGCAAGGGCTACCATCCGAAGCAAAAGGAGGCAGACGTAATCCAGTCGGTCGAGATGGCCAGGTGATGAAGTGCGCGACGAAGGATTGCGCAACCGAGTACTACCTGGCGAAGGATTGCCCGCGCCGTCAAGGGGGGGGCTCCGAAAGAAAAGTCGTCGTTCATCACCGACGGACCTTGTTCGGTTGCTGGGGCCAGCGCAGGAGTGACCTGGCCCAGATTCTACGCTGGCGCCGCGGCCAATTCGCCCGCGGCGGCCGCGACCTGCCCGAGCGCGTCATCACCGCCAGCCTGCGGCCCAGGTGCCATCGCCCTCTTCGCAGCAGAGAGCGACGCGACCACGCCAACCTGACGCCGGGCGCCGCCAGTAGCACGGCGAGCGCGACAGGCCCGAATGGATTTTTTGGAGCTGCCATCGCATTGGCTGTGGCAGAGCCGAAGACGGCGACTGAAGATCGACGTGATCTGGAGGATCGACCCAAGGCAGCCCTGCCGAGCGCGACTTGGGCCCCCCTGCGCGACCGAGCGGGCCCGCGCCATCGGCGAGCGGGCGGCCAGCCTTTCCTATAATGAGCGCCGAGCGCGAGCAAGATGAATAAAATGGCGGACAGCCCCAGACTCGCGCCAGAAAGCCAAACTTCGGAATTTACCACGCACTGGGGCCACATTCTTTTTTGACGCCGTCTGGAGAACCTGCCGGGGCTTAGCCATTCAGTCCTGCAGCCCCGCCGCCAGGCATGGTCTCGCCGAAGGCGGCTGCGCCGGCAGCGACACCGACAAGCCCAAAAGGATTTGAGGAAACCCAGCAGGAGGCACTCAGCATCGGCGGCCTCGCGTCCGCGGCATCTCCGCCGAAGGCGTCGGTCGCGCCGCCGAGCGCGAACGGCGCGGCGGTCAGCCGGGAACAGATCTCGAGTTCACCCAGCGACGATGCCCACGCGGCCGTCGTCGCTGAGCAGCAGGCGGTGTTTTCGGTCTTCGACGACGGGATCGAGAGCTACTTCGACGTCGTGGGGAAGCGCGACCTGGACGAAGAGGTCGAGCGCGAGGGCTACGACCAGAGCACTGGCGTCGACCTCGCCGACAACGGGAAGGGCCTTCAGGGGGTCTGTTGGGCGCTGAAAATGGAAAGCGAGATCCAATGCCTCAGCCGCGAACGGACCAGGCTCGACAACGGTAACATGGGCACCTTGGGCGACCCTGGAGCTCACGGGGAACTCGCAGGGCATCGGTGGGCCAATCAAGCAGCAGGCGGCCAAGGCATCGCGTTCGGGCCACGACACCGAAGATGCTACTGAACGAGTCTCATCGAGGTTAGCGGCTTTGGCAAAAGCCCCGGCCGCTGCCGCAAGCAGTGGCGACTCCCGGTCGGCGCGCAGGAGATCAGCCAAGAAAGCGAAGGCACCTGCAACCTGGGCTCGCGCGCGGTGTCCGCCACCCCGGACCGCGACACCCCGGCACAACGTGGAAACATTTCTTTGAAGAAGTTTGATGCGATCATGGGGCGCGGCCCTGGCACTCTGCATCTACGCGGGCCTGGGCGTCGAGGGTTGTCTCTACCCGCCGGCGCGATGAGCTACCACCGGTAGGCCAGTAGGAGCGCGCATTCAGGCCCCCGGAGACCAGGGCACAGACAAACCAGGACACGGAAAACCAAGGAAACGACATCCTTTCCTGCAAGGTCACGTTTTTCAGCACCCGTGCATGTTTTGTTTGCCGCACTGCAGGATTCGGGTTTGTGTCTGGGTTTAGGGGGGTCCTGCAGGCTTTTGAGGCTTGTGTCCGGGTTTATTTAATCGCTTCGCTCATTCCGCCGGCCCATACAGTCTCATGTCTGCCGTTTGCCCGAGGGCCTGGTGTCAATGCGGCGCTTTGGGGGTTCCTGGGGCCGCTTGGGGGACTCCTGGGGCGCTCGGGGGGGCATTTGGGGGGCCTCCTGGGGCCGCTTGGGGGACTCTTGGGGGCCTCCTGAGGGCCCCGTGGGGGCCTCTTGGGGCCTCTTAGGGGCCTCGTAGGGGCTTCTTAGGGCCGAGGGCTCGAAATGTTGTTTCGTGTTCCCTCTCTGGGGCCCCTTTGGGGGCGTTCTTGGGGCCCTCTTGGACCGTTTTGGAGGCTTCTTGGGCCGTCTTCGAGCCCTCTTGGGCCATCTTGGGGCCCTCTTGGGTGCCTCTTGGGCCCTCTTGGGGCGATCTTGGGGGCCTCTTGGGCCGTCTTGGGGCGTCGGGAAGCCGAAAAGGTGGAAGCTCCAAAATCTCTCAAAAACCTATGGAAAAACAATGATTTTTGCCTCCGGGGGCCCTATTGGGAGTGCTCTTGGAGGCCTCTTGGGGCGTCTGGGGGCTATCTTGGGCGTCTTGGAGCGATCTTGTGGCATGTCG